TTTTTTTTTAAGACCTTGTTGCAATTCTTTCTGCTTTTTTTCTAAATACTCTCAATTAAAGTAATATGGATTGATAACATTCATGTGGTACCATTTGTCAGCTATTACAGTCTCCTGTTTTTGTATACAAGCACCACATGTGTGCAAAGCATATTTGAGGTAGCAGCCTCAAGTTGTGTTGGTGAGATTTACATTGTATATGAGGAAGAAGCTCTTTGTGGAAATAGTAGTTAGGCATTGGAACAGGCTGCCCAGAGAGGAGGCAGAGTCGGCACCCCTGCTCAGAAATTTATGAGGATACACCCCAGCTGAGCGGCACGGTGAACACAATGGAAGGAAGGGCTGCCATTCAGAGGGACCTCAGCAGACTTGAAAGGTGGGCCCAGGTGAACCTAATGAGGTTCAACACAGCAAAGTGCAAGATTCTGCACTTGGGCCGGAGGAATCCCAGGCATCCATACAGACTGGGAGGAGCAGGCCTTGAGAGCTGCCCTGCAGAGAAGGACCTGAGGGTCCTGATGGATAAAAAACCTTGGTATGAGCCAGCAGTGTGCACTTGCAGCTCAGAAAGCAAATGGTATCCTGGGCTCCATCAGAAGAGAGGTGGCCAGCAAGGACAAGGGAGGTGATTGTCCCTCTCTACTATGCCCTTGCAAGGCCCCAGCTGGAGTACTGCCTCCAGATCTTGGGCCCCCAATACAAGAAAGACAAGGTACAGTTGGAGAGGGTCCAAAGGAGAGCCATAGAGATAATCAGGGGGCTGGAGCACCTCCTCTACAAAGACAGACTGAGGGAGCTGGGCTTGTTCAGCCTGGAGAAAAGAAGGCTGTGGGGCGATTCTCATTGCAGCCTTTCAGTACCTAAAGGGAGCCTACAAACAGGAGGGGAATCAACTCTTCACAAAGAGTGGATAATGGCAGAACAAGGGGAAACAGGTTTTAAGTTGAGGGAGCGAAGATTTAGGTTTGATGTCAGGAAATTTCTTTACCCAAGTGAGGAACAAAGGATCATCTTCTTACTCACTGTCATCAAGATCACCCCAGAGATCTCCATCCCAAACGTCAGGGGATACCATTAGTTTCCTAACCTGTATGATGTCAGGGGGGCAGGGAGCCTTCACAAGAATCATCTCAACCCTTTCTTCCAATTTTTGTCTGCTCAGACAGCTGAGAAACCAAGGCAAGTTTTGCTTCTGCTAAGAGCCAAGCAAAAATCTTGTGGATCATGCTGTTCAGAGTCCTGAACCACAGAGACGCAGAACAGCACAAACTATTTTATTGCTTTGTTACCTGCTGTGAGGCCAGACTTGTGTTATGAAGGTCAATAGCAGCAAGAGAGGGGACCCGGGACTCTGAAACTGTTTTATTTTCCTTTTTGAGATATCTGGGATGCCATCCTGCAAAATGCAACCAATGCACACAAGGTTAAAGAAGCAAGATGTGACTGCTGCAGTGCACATTGTTTCCTGCCACTTAGCATCCAGGTTTAACTTAGAGGACATTGAAGCTCATACCTTCCACTCCTTTCAGTTCAGGGAGATGATTTAGCTCTGGCAAATGCACATCTGTCTTAGAGAATTCCCGTTTCTTCTTACTGGCCTGAAGGATGTTCTTTTCATTAGAGACCTCGTGTACAGAAAGAAAAAACAAAGCTATTTTCAAGACTAAATCATATAGTTAAAGGAATCCATTCTGCTTAAATAGCTCAGACATTAAAAACAACTGAACAACCACAGCAGAAGAAACAAACAAAAAAGTAACTACAAGTGAAAAAGCAACACCAAACATCTAAATGAAATTGCTTTCAAAGACACAAAATACAACAGGAGAACAGCTCAGATTAGTTCTCTATATAAAGTCAAATATTCCTCTGACTTGGAAAAATAATTATCTAGGTACTGAGTGCAGTGGAGAACTTCGTATTTCACTTGTTTTCATTATCAACTTTATATGCATTTACGACGTGACTAAAGGAGACCCTGACAGTATTAAATCAAAATCCTGCACTCTGCTTCAACAGTGATGCACAAATGGTCCACTTCCTGGACAGGCAATACAGTGGATATACTCCATGTCTCACAAGTATCCTTGCTGACTGCTACCTTCATGTAAAAACTGTGCCCTTTAAAAAAAATTTTAAATGTTTCATATGGGGTAACAGTAACAAAGGATAAGGGATAACTGTAGGAATAAAAGGCTGAAGAACATTATTTCTAGTTGGGAATTATGGTGAAGACTGCAAGAAAGATTACTGACAATAAAGCACATATTTAAGAATTCATTTTTGCTTAGTCAAGGGGAAGGACATAAAACTTACCGAAGTCAAGCTTACACTGTAATGGCCTGCTGGAGAATGCTTCATTTGCTTTAAAAATGGTTTCAAATAATTCTTACTCCTTTCATCAACTCTGTAATTTCAAATGGCCCAAACTGTTTAATAACATGGTAAATGTAAATACAAACAAACATCAGACACTCAGAAACACTGTCCCCCCAACAGGGACCTTCTTCCTGGCTTGTATCAGAAATAGTGTTGCAAGAAGGAGCAGGGAAATGATTGTCCCTCTGTACTGAGTACTGGCGAAGCTGTACATCAAGTGATGTGTTCAGTTTGGGCCTCTCACTGCAAGAAAGACATCAAGGTCCTGGAGTATGTTCAGAGAAGGGCAATGAAGCTAGTGAGGGCTCTGGAGAAGTCTCATGAGCAGCAGAGCAAATTGGAATTGTTTTGCCTGGAGAAGAGAAAGCTCAGGGGAGCTCTTATTACTCTCTACAACTATCTGAAAGGAGGTTGCGGAAAGGTGGGGATCAGCCTCCTATACTGTTTAACTAGCAATAGGGGAATAACTTCAAGCTGCACCAGGGGAGGTTTAGGTTGGAAGTTAGAAAAAATTTGTAACTCTGAAAAAGTGTTCAGGTGCTGGAATGGGCTGCCAATGGAGGTGGTTGAGCCACCATCTCTAGAGTTGTTCAACAAATATTTAGATGTTGGACTACAGGACACAGTTTAGTGGGGAAATATTGGGGTAGGTGGATGGTTGGACTGGATAATATTGGAGGTCTTTTGCAACCTTGGTGATTCTACAATAACACTGCAGGCCCAGCTAACACAGAATTTTTGTCCAAAGGATAAGCCATTAGTTAAAGAAAGACCTGCATTGCAGCTGCTGGCAAATTGCTGTTGTCCCATAGGACTTTGCCGAATGCAGAAACACAGAAGCTTTCTGCATGGACCCTTAGAGCTGCCTGAGGTGAAACCAAGCTTTCTAACCCATGTACACACCATGCTTCACCCAGAAGCTGCTCCTCTCTGCATCCTGCCCCAAACCCACATCACCACCCTGCAGCTCTCTCAGCACATTACTGTTCCTCAGCAACAAGATCAAAAGAAACAAGTTTTTCCAGCTCTGCTCTTTTACCTGTAGTTACAGTTCCTAGGCACAGGCATCATTGCAGACACAGTGGGAGAAACATTCCGGTTAATGGGAGGAATAATGATGCCTGCATTCTTGATGTAGCCCAAGTTGCTACTGGAATCTTTCAGGTTGGCTTGAGAGCATATTTTGAATGGGTTGATTGCACTGTCATAGAGGGAGCTCAGGTCAGAAGATCGCTCTCCTTTCTCTCCATCAGCTTTAGAACACTTCACTTTGAACACCTTCGCATCTCTGCTCTTTGGGTCAGTGTTGAAATCCTGTTTGGAAAGATGAGTGTCATATTTCTTTTCCAGTTACATTTAAAAATTAACTTAGAGCTGCACATGGAGGAAAAAATTCAAAGCTTAAGTTAGTACAACTCTGCAAGGATCTGATGGAGATGGTTTAAGTAGTGTGATAGAACACCTGTCTTCCATTAAAGTTGAAAGGAGGAAACTTGTCAGGGATCCAGCACCCTCTGTAAGTAAAGTCACCCTGGAATGAGTTGGAAGTGATGGAGGAAGAACAGCTATATCATGTGTCACTTCTAAAGAAATAAGAACCAAGCCCAGTGTCACCTCAGCATAACTGTGAAGCCTCTAGCCTTCACATCTGGTTGAAAGCTAAATATGCAGTTTTGGAGACAGAACTTCAACACAGGTGAGCAGCTGCACAGAACCATGTTTTGCTCATTCAATGTGACTAACACTTCCTAACTGGTTTTCCTTACAATTCTCTATTTGCAAGTAACTGCATTGTCATGTGCTTTATTGACAAGGAAGGCTTGAATAGCCACCTGCAGACTGTCCAGCCAGGCATCAGCACAACTTGTAGCAGCCAGCTGGAATCAAACGCATAGAAAATCTACATGCCAGCCTGCTTGTTGTACTGCAGTGAGCATCAGAGTTGAAGGATACAGGCCTCATGAACTGCTTAAACTCACAGAGAGCTGAACTTCTCTGGCACATCTTTTTTCTAGTCTTTTTTTTTTTTTTAAATGAAATATAAAATTGTGTTTATATTTATATGCTAAGCAATTAAAGTACATCACATACTTATTTATTCATTTTAAAAGATGGAGAAAACACAAGAAAGCAAAACAAACAAACAAACAAACAAAAAAAAAAAACAGGAAAACAAAAAAACAACTAACCTGTACACCAACCATCTTCCTTTCTTCCACAGCATCATCTTTATCCCTTCTGCTGACTTTTGATTTTTTTTGTAACTGATGGTCCCTAGTTTCTTTGTGAGTTCTTAATTTAAGCTCCTGAGCAAATCTACTTAACATATCATAGTGGGGAAAGAGAAAAAGAAAAGGCTTTTGTTAGTATCAGTGCTCAGCCCAGGCTGCTATAACCTTCCAAATAATGAAACAAACCATGTATTTCTATGTAATTAGAATCCAATAAAGTAAAATATAATCCTACACATGCACACTTTTATTTTCACAGCAATAAAGGTGGTTGTATCCCAGTCTGATGTAGATGCACACACTGAATACAGTGTAAGATAATACTACTCAATATGCCAATATGCTGTGAAAGGAGGCCCACACCAATGAATTCATGTCATGACCATGTACTATGGTAAACATGCTACTGCAGTGTTTTCCCATTTAACTGTTCCCTCCATTTTTGGGAAGGCTCAAACCAAACAAAGCTAAGACACTCAGCAACCACCTGCTTTGCAAACCCAGCACGTACTTTTAAAGCTCAATTACTTAACTTCCTTTTAATCTTGTCCTGTTTTGAGTAAGAAATGTACCATTCACCTTTCAGCAAATCCATCCTTGTTAAAGAAATCGCTCTGCAAGAGTTCAGCACAGGATGGTCTTTTGTCTGGGTCAATCTGCAAACACTTCTGTGAAAACCAACAATAAACAGTAGAAGGCAGAAATGAAAGAAAGGCTTTAGCATTTCCAGATGATGTCAAGAAAAAATAGCTGCAAAGCTCCCACTTCTATAGCCTGCTACATGGAGATGGTCCCAAGAGATGTACCCTTTTTCCACAAAAAATATTTAATATTTGCTGGCTACATCCACTCAAATCACTAATGCTCACAAAGACAGATGGCCTACCTGCCACACAAATAATCCACCTCCCAGTAAACCACTCATTTTCAATTCTATTTGTTTGGCTAAGGCTTTAGAAGCTGGTTTGATCACAGGGCATTTCCAATACATTCAGGTATCTTACAGGTTATTTTAGTTACCCAGCATATCAGTGTTCCAGACTATTATCTGAAAGCAGAAAAATTCTTCAGAATCAGTTACAAAGTTGTATGCTTCCTAGCTCCCACACAAGTGCATGTATGGATGCCATCTCATCTGCTTGCAGTGTCTCCACCAGGATGCAGATAGAAGGTTGGCAGAAAACACTGCATCACACAGCTGTGCTAGCAAGGAAACAGTAAGGGACCACGTATTATCTGCAGCATGCTACAAGTCCTCCTCAGAAGAGGCAGCCCCTGTGGAGCTGGAGATGATGAGCTCAGTCTTCCCCATTATCCAGGAGAATAGCTGTTCTCACCAAACTACCAAACCAAGCAGTTGATTATTGCATGGGTAGTTGGTTAAGCCAGCCTAGCAACACTAGCTCTTTTTGCAGGCTGCAATCTGTTCCCCAGGGCAAGTGACAAGTATCTGCCAAAGGCACTAAATTCTAATGAGAATTTCCCACCTCTCCATGCAATTTCCAAAATGATCTCTTACTTACCTTGGCTAAATCTAGTACTGAAGCAGAGAGCTTAGGATATCTTCTGTCCAGAGATTCAGCCTCTTTCACTTCAGGCAACCTCATGCCAGCAAAAAGGGGATTTTTACAGAATAACTCTTGGTGTCTTGGAATTAAATTACCTGGAATCACACAACCATAGCAACCAAATGGAAGAAATGCCATCCTGAGAATATTCGAGAGGATGAAATACTGAGTTAACAGAACTATAAGGGCTATAATCTGGGTCATTCTTTCCATTCAAGAATCATGAACGGACTTCAGGGTCACAAAACTCCTAGCTCTCCCTCTTTGTAAAGGGGGCAAAGAAATCATGCTCTCAGAAACAGTTCAGCACACATCTTTCCTCTTCACACCTTCCTCCCCCCATCAAGACTTATTCAACCCCTTCATTAGGGAATAGGCACTGGGAGTCTGGCAGGCTGTTCTCACCCAGGCATTTGGTGATGTGGTAGAGCTGGTCAATGTCTGAATCTCCAGGGAACAGGGGCTCTCCTGTGAGCATTTCTGTTACCAGACAGCCAGTAGCCCACACATCCACAGCCCTGGAAGAAAAACATCCCCGATCAGCACAGCTTTATTCTTCGTTCTCAGCTAAAGGCTGAGCTGGGCCAGCATCCAGCAAGTTACAGGCCTTGAGTGCAGCTCTGACTCCGTAAACAGCAAGACAGCTGTTTTCCAAGCTTGCATACGCTCTGATGAATACCAAGAATTCAGCTCTTGAAGAAGGCAAAAGTTTGACCAACCTGAAATTCGGTCCTAAACCCCAACGCTTTCAAAATTCTCATGCAAAGTAATACATTAAAAAAATCTTGCCCTTTGGAGAACAGAAAACTTTTCTTTCTGCAGGCACCTGCCCTTCTGAAGCGTTTACTAAAAAAGGACGTTAGGTAACGCAGAACATTTATAAGCATACAGGGGAGTACAAACCTGTGAATGGCAGTTTAATTTCTGACGTGGTTTTGCAGCACTAGAGATCCCAGTAAGAAAAACTCATGCATCGCACCTCCTCCTTCCTGAAATACTTTTCTCAGCATGTCTGGAGTGATTTCTCTGCCTCCACGCCAGGACCAGCTGCACAGGGGGGAAATAGCCTCCTCCAATACTAGCACTGGCAACCAAAAAGCTCCTGTAGACAACAGACTGGGGATGCTGATGGCTCAGTCTTTCTTTCTGCTCTTCTGAGCCAGAAAAGCCTAGCGTTGGCCATAGTTAGCTCCACAGACACAGAGAGAAGAGGAAGGCTCAAATCCTCACAAATAATTAACCAAGGCATGATGAACAGCATTGCTTTAACCAGTTTAACAAGCACAAGTTCCTCAAAAAACAGAGTACCCGCACAAACCCCAAACCCCTCTGCAGCCTGGCCGGTCTCCTACCTGCCGTATTTCGTGTCTCCCACCAGCAGCTCTGGAGCTCTGTACCATCGAGTTGCCACATAGTCTGTGTAAGCTTCCCCAGAAGCTGCCAATGTGCGAGCAAAACCAAAATCACAGAGTTTTACCACTCCTGACTTGGAGACCAATATGTTCTCTGGCTTAATATCCCGATGTATTATCTGCACAGAGAAAAAGCAAGTCAAGCAATTTCCCCACAGGAAACCGAACAGCCCACCAGAAATAGTAGATTTCTCACATTCAGGTAAAAAAAACCAAATTTTTGTAGGCATGAAAAACACATCAAGTCTACATAACACAGGTATGTGCACACAGACAAGGACAAAGTGCCAACCCAAGGGCTTCAAAAACTTCAGTTTTTGACGGGTGTTAATTTTATGTATTTCACTGCATGTATTTACCATAGGTATTGCACAAATACGTTATTATACTTAAAAACTGGTCCTGATCACGAATTTTAAAAGCTCTAAGTGTTGCAAGAGGAAAAAGCACATCCTGCAATTAAATGTGAAGAGTATTTTAGGAATACTAGAAAGACAGTTTTCCCAATACAAAAAGAAATATATACGGATAGTTACAGGGTCATGACTAAAAGGCAAGCTCATATATTTACAGACACTATCAGAAACAAGCTTTTGAAAGAGAAACCACCTCCCTCTGTCAGAAGAGAGTTGGTGAGGAAATCTGATTCCTTGGACTTCTGCATCTTCCCTCAGAAGAGCTCTCATAGCAGTCACAGACAGACCAGTGCAGGAACTGCTGCCGGGCTCTGACGTTTTGTATGAAACTCGGTCAGGCCCTCCTGCTCTACTTCCAACTTCCAGTCAAAGCTTTATTTCTCTAAGCTTTACTAAGTGTCACAAATGCACACCCCTGTATCTATCCATTTGAGGTTAACTGCAGAGCTGGTTTCTCAGGCATACTTACATTATGGCTGTGACAAAATGCTATTCCTCTCAAAATCTGAAATAAGTATTTCCGAACCCTGCTGTAGTCTAGTCCATTTGGAGATGCCTCAAGATCATCAAGCACCGTGTGATCCACAAATTCAAACACCAGATACCACCGTTTCTTCTTTTTATACACTTCCAGCAGGCTCACAAGATTCTCATGCCTGAGTTGCTGTTATGAAACAGGAAATATTTTGTGAGAGCATGAAAGCATTTAATGGGTAAACTAAGACCAGATGCCTTTAACTGCAGTCTGGCCAGTGCCGAATGCTCTTCTTGTCTTACTTATCCTAACACCGACAGTCATTTGTTCTTAGAATTAGTTCAGTGATCTCCTCATTACTCCTCCCTCCTTTTTTTTTTTTTTTTTTTTTTTTCTTTTTTTCCCAAGTAAGTTGGAAGATTTCCACCACCTCATATATGCATATACCTTTTTTGGCCCCTAGAAATAAAGCACCAGATAAGACATTTCACTTGCAAAAAGCAATAAACACAGTTTGCTCCTTTTGCACTGGACTGTACCTGTGTCTCAACTTTCTTTACAGGACGTTCTCCTGAAGGCAACCACATAACCCTGCACTATGCTGCCACTTTTCTCGGAGCAGAGCACAGTGCAACTCTAGCTGCTCCTTCTGGCTGCATTTCAAAGCATTCAAAGGGTTGCAGAATACAGTGGTCAACATTTTGTTTTATAAAAATGTTTGCTTCTCTCAATAACTCAGCACAAATTCATCTTTATACCATTATCCCAAGAAGTTTTGCTCTTCTCTTTTACTTCCTTATCTAGCTTCTTGTTTCTACAATCTCTTACATTCTCATTTCAGTCAAAAACAAAAGCAGCTGTCTGTTCTATTTAGCTGCCAGTTCATCACCACTTAAAACCTCTCTATCTTGATTTTTCTAAGAGATCTATTCAAAGGTTTTTCTCTTAAGTTGCCACAATACCCACAGCATTTCTGTTGGCACTGTCAGCTTGTGCACATTACAACAGCATGTGCCAGAATACAGGCACATTGAATGGATAAAAGTTCAGCATTCCTCAAGCACTCAGTTAACAATTAAAGATCTATTAAACTGTGTCTAGTGGATTCTGGTTAATAAGCAACAAGACAAAGATTCAAAGAGTTTATTTTAAAAGGATTTTTAAGAACGTGTATATATTGTTACGCAGGAGGAAGAAGATGGAAATGAGAAAAAGATTCTAAAGAGAAAATAAAGCAGCTCTGTTTTCCAGTTATTTTGTTATCTCATTTTGACCAGGCCAAATTCCATCTCCAGTCTGTTACACAACTGTAACACCAAAACAACCCCCGCTACAATATGGAGTTATTTATCAACTTGGAGCCTAGCAGGGAAATACCAATGCCACAGGAAGCAGCCTGAAGGCAGAACCGTGCCTCAGGGAGTGTCCAAGCAAGACACAATAAGACTGCTGAGCACCGGACTCATATGGTAGGTGCTCTACTGACAGAGAAGTGCAGCCAGGCTGCAGCAGAGAGCTGGTGAGCAGAAGGCTCAGAGACTGATTTCTCAGATTTGAAAAATGAAGATTATCGATTAGAAATTTGAAAGAAAGACACAGTATTTTCTTAAGTTTTTGGTCTGAACAACACCAGAATACCTCCTACCTCACAGCTTGGTACCTCTGCCCGAGAGAGCTTCCAACTGCCCAAACATTGGAATGGAGAGGAAAAATGAAAAAAGGGGGGGTTCACAAGGAACACACAAATAAAGCAGCTACAAGAAGATTGAATCCCCAGGTAGCTATCCTCACTGTGCGAGGCCATTTGTTGAGATAGATTTCCATTCACCTAGGAAAACATGTTGATTTGCAAGGCACCTGGGAGGCAGTGTGTGCTCTGACTCAGTAACTAAGCAAAGCTTGCCAGCAGATCATGTATAATCCAGGCACACGCAGACTGGCTTTAAATGTGTTTGAGAGAACAGTGCTTATAGCTGCTGGCTGCATTGAGCTCCAGAACATACCTTCCTATCAACCCTAAGTGTCTGCAGCTCTTGTAGCGGGGGAGGAAATCACCTTTTTCCCTGTCTAACACAGGGAATACAGTCTGATAGACTTGGTTAGAGCTGCTTGTGGAAGCCAATTGCAGTGCAGGAGGCACGCTCTGCCACCCCACCAGCTGGGGAAAGGCCAGAAACACCCCAACTACACTCTCCTTTGCTTCTTCAGGAGACAGATCAGCCAACACCTAGACTTTTCACATGTGCCCATGGACAGACACGTGTGCACACAGGCAGGTACGCCCTGCACACAGCACTTTAAGATACCAAGGAATCTAACAGCTCTGTATGGCAGCACTGTATATATCATCACGGGAGCTCAAGGATGAAGAAAAATGCTGCTGCTACTGCTAGAGCTAACAGTGGAGAACACAAGGCTGAAAGGGGTCATAAAAGCAAGTAGAAGCATGGATGTGTGTCCTGGCGCAGAGTCCAAACCTGCACCCTTAGCTCATGAAGAAACTCATTAAAAAAAAATATGGCAAAAAAATCTTGCAGTGAAACAACAGGAACACGCAAAAGTCTCCCAGAAAAAACAGAGCCAAGAGAGGGAGCAGGAAGACCACTTGACAAAGCACTGAAGAGCATGCACACAAAAGCCTTGCCTGCCTGAAGCTCCCAGATTACAGATTACTTCCAGAATACCCTCAGCCTTAATGAACCCTTAGTGAACTAACCCACACAATAGACTGCACAGCCTGCCACCACGTAGTGCCACTGACAAGAAGCCACCAGGCAGAAGCATGACTGGACATGTAGGTGACCAAAGAACACCCACAGCTGATGACAGACAAATCACACACATCAGGAGCCATAATGCCAGCTGGCTGCAGCCTAACCACTGACCCATAAGCTTCAGTGAGCCTGGAGCTCGCCCTCCCACAGCCACTTATGGGTAGTTCAAGCCTGCCAGGAAAATGCCATGGAAAACCAGCATATGGCTATCCCAGCAAATGGTGCTGGGATCCAGTCTGCTTAGGCCCGCTGTCAGCCAGTCAGGTCACTGCTCACTTGCAGCTTTTATAGGCTCAACATAATCAACAGCAGCAAGGTGCTGCCTGTGGTGCACAAGGCAGAGTCCCCTCCGGGAGGGAATGGAGACCTTGTAGCTCATTTCCTTGTGCATTTACCTACTGAATTTGGGGCACGTAAATGTACTGCTCACCAACCTGGGCCAGCAGCACTTAGCCAGAGGGACAGCAGCTGTGCAAGGCTGCAGCTGTAGGCTTAGAGAACCTACCACAGCTTGGCTGCTTGTGGGAACACAGACTGAAACGGATCAAGCCTCCTTTGGTTTAGGTTTTGTTATTTGTGCTGACGTACAGTTTTCAAAGCCGACGCAGCGTGTGAAATTCACGCTCGCCCTGCACCTTCCCCTCAGCATCGCACTGTGAAGGAACCGCGGCAGTCTCAGCAGGCAGTGCTCTCCCCAGAGCCGGCCGGTCGCTAGGGAGGTTTGAAGCACCTCCATCACATCGACACTCGGACCACAGACACACGGCCGTACGTCCTGCTAAGAGGAGACGTTTGCCTCCTTGACTCGGGATTCGGTCATTACAGTGAACACTGACACTGAGCAGCCCCAGACGGATCTGCCCTGCGCGACCGAAGCGCAGCCTCCCCCGGGCCCGCTCACCTTCAGCAGTTTGATCTCCCGCACGGCGATCTTCCTCACTGCCGCGTTGTCCTCGCTCTCCAGGAACTTTTTGACAGCCACCACCTGCCCGCTCTCCTTATTCCTGCACCTGCTCACCACCCCGTAGCTGCCCTCCCCGATGAGGCCCAGGACCTGGTACTTCTCCATCACCTGCGGGAGGAGCTGGACCGAGCCGCAGCCGGAGGGCGACGAGCCCGGGCCGAAGGGCCACCGTCACCGGGGCAACGGCCGCCACCCGCCGTAACGCCCACGGGCGGAGACGAGCGCCCGGCCGCGGGGTCACCGCTGCTGCTCCGTGTGCCCGCCCCGGGGCGGGGCCTCCTCTGCCCGGCACCGCCTCACCGCTCCGGCGGAGGTACCGCCAGGGCTGTTTGTCGGCTGCGGGAAGCTGGTTTTGCTCTGGAAACGCGGCTGGTGCACGTGTAGTACCGACAGCTGGGGAAAGGCTGTACGTAGAATGGCGTGGGATGGAAAGCACCTTAAAGCCCATCCAGCTGCAACCGCCTGCCAGGGGCAAGGTTGCCGCCCTCTAGATCGGGTTGCCCAGGATCCCGTCCAGCCTGGCTTTGAGTGCCTCCAAGGAATAGGGCACCCCAGGCTTCTGTGGGCGGCTTTGCCGCTGCCTCGTTGCTCTCTGAGTAAAAAATTTCCCTCCTAACATCCATCCTAAATTCCCCCTTTTAGCTTCAAGCCATTCCCCCTTCCCTGGCTTTACCTCTTCTTGAAGCAAAGGTAGGAAACAATTCTTCTCTGCGTTTCATCTGGCTGTTTAATGTCCTCAAAGCAATGGTGAGGGCTCAGATTCACATCTTCCGGTGTCAGATCACTGCTTTGGTGCTTCGAAAAAGCTAAGGCAACAAGAACAACAAATCAAAAAGCCCTTTTCAGGCATAAAACATTTCAACTATTTGCCCTATCAAGTGAAGTCGTGTGAAGCATTTCCTGATATGCATCACAAGAGTATTTGACCTTGTCACGTCTTGCATTAGAAGTTAATCTTCAACTGGATAATGATTCTTGAGATTATCGTATTATTACCATACCCAAAGAAGAGTGTGAGGAGGGCAGGAGACACTGGAGTGGCATTTGACATAAAATAACAAAAACAAAACAAGCAGCAGTGACAACTTCTCCTGCAGTTCCTTTTTCTCCCCCAGTGTCTGAATTTCTTAGGTCATTTTTAATTTAATGTTCCTGTCACATTTTTGGTAGAGATGCACATAGTAGAAATACTGCAATTTGAAGAAGTTGCCTCCCAGAAAATCAGGACCACTATTCAAGATGCTCACTATTTCTTCTTATGCCATCCTATCTATTTATTGATATGAAGAATGTCAAATGCAAGCCTATGTATGATTTCCTGTTGCTTTTTTTGGACAACCTTTCCCGCTGCTGGCAGCAGCAATAGTGAGGAGCAGGATGAGGTTTGTCACAAGGGGGTGTCCCACGAGCCTGTTGCATGGGGTGTGATCCGTAAGCTGGAACACATATCAGCCCTTTCCTAAGTGCCTGCACATTTTTGCATGTTCATATACTTACATTTCCCCTATTAGTGGTAGATGATTTACAGGAGCACAGAGAAGAGATGGCTCCCCAGCAGGCTGTTTATGAGCTGCGTGACCTTGGTTTTTTAAGGGTTATATATTTCCCTTGAGCAGCAAAGGTTTCCGCTACTTTTAATGGCAGTGCAGCATGTGAGTCAAGGTGAGATACAGTTGCAAGCAGGCTGCACAGGAGAGAATTTCCAGGTTATCCTTAGGCAAACTTTGTAGTAGTAGAGGGAAAAAATACCTTCTCTTGGCGTGGGTGGTGCCAAACATCTTAACTCTTCATCAGTCTGTCCCAGCCGCATAGGAAAAAAAGATGGTATCAGGACTGTCAATCATGAGTAAGGGGCTATCTCACAAATGCTCTGGGGAGATAATCCAGTCAGGCAGGGAAGCAGGTTTGACACAGAACACAGTGAGCCTTGAAAGGGAGACTACCAGAGTGAGGAAGGTCACCTGAAGAACCAGGGGGCACTACTGGGAGAGAAAGAAACTCCACAACCTCTGCAGCTTTGCTCTCTGCAAATTTTAACTCCGCAATATAAACGGTACTAACCCCAGTCAAATACCTCCTGTGCGGCCAAGTGATGAGAAGGGCAAACACAAGTGACATGAATTCAAGTTTCCTGTTGCTGCAAGGGCAGCAGCCAGCTGGGGAATCTTCCAGTCAGTTCCAGTCACTCCTGTCAGCCACACACACACACACAGCCCCCGTTCAGTCACAACAAGGACATCCTTTTGAGATGATGATTTCTGGTCATCTTCTTCCCCAAGCACCAAGGCTTTACTGAACAGTTTCCACGGAAGAGTAATTCTGCTGACTCAGAGCCAAAAAACAGAGCTGCTGGGAGACCTTACCAGCTGGCTGGCTTTCTCCCCCCCCAGGGTATGTTATTGAATGCCCTCTATTTAGCAAACCATTCAGCAACTGGCCCACACAAACCGCAAATAATACCTTCTTACCTGAAGGCAATAAAAGCATTTTACCTTCTTTCATGCAACAAGACTGTTACATTAAAAGCCTCTTCAATTTTAAACACAGTGATTAACTTTTGTTGGCCCAATCACCCAGCTCAGAGATACTATCTGCTTCAGGTACTCTTTCCAATCCATGAAGTACCTAAGAGTAGTTATTCCTCCAAACAGAAAAATCACCTTGTACTTGCACAGAAGGACTGCCACGTTATCTAAAATCACAGCAACACCAAGTACCCTCTGAAGACAGAACTTTATCGAACCCCAAACTTTGCGCACTCCAAATTGTATTTTATAAAAGCTATTGTTTTGCTGCCCCATTTCAACGAATTAAATGCACTGCATTCATGCTCCCTTGGAAACTTCAGTATTATGTTTCTGTGCCACCACCTTTTCTATTCTTTTATTTCTTTAATTAAAAAAAATAAAATAAAATCAGATTGCAAGCAGTCACGCTCTGAAGCTGACGGTGCTCCCAGCACCTTTTCTTTTTCCTGAGTCAGCCCCAAATGGGGATCTCTAGGGTTCTAGTCCCCTTAATTCATTTGACTCCCAGACTTAATACCTAGTGCTGCTTCACCCTGGTACAGGTCATTCTGTTCTTTGTACCTCTAAATTACTGCCCCATCAACCACCTTCCTCCTACCTAGTATGCTACATCCTGTGTGCTTGTTCCTGAGACTCCCAGCATTTCTATGGAAGAAAGTGAATAAACCTGCTGAGTTTTTCTTTTCCTCCTCCTCCCACAGCAATACCAGAGTTGTGCAACAGTGTCACTGCACATGCTGTCAACCCCTGGGATTATCCAGATTAGATATAGAAAATAGTTAGCTTCAAGGTCTTTAGTCCACATTTTTATTTCTCCACTTGCAGCCAGTAGTGCTCCTGTAAGACCTCTCACAATTTGACCAGAAAAAAAAAAAAAAATAAATAAAAAATCTCTGTTGTGATTGTAAATATTTGTGCACAAAGCATAGCTATGCAGGTTTTAAGTATATTGCATGCACCAGACTGTGCATGTGGCTCAGCATCCTGGGCAAGAATAGGAGCACCGCTTCTTCCCTGTGTGCTTCATCCTGTCAGATGGGGATGTGCTGTGTCAGGCTCACCACGTGGGAAAGGTGCCTCAGCAAGAAATGTCAGACAAGGAGCTGTCTCAAGCTCATGAGCCGCTGCAATCTAAGTCATTTGGCTTTGAAGAAACCATCTGTGCTGCTTGCACTCCCTTGCTGTGATGTTGCCTTTGAAGGATAGGAGCACCTCCAAAATACCAACCAGGCAACTCCTGCTCCTACCTCAAATGCAGTGCCTAAAGCCCTCCCAGTGTTTCCTTGGTAAAATGAGACTGGCCAGACTTGTTAACATCACACCGCCCCATCTCAAAGCTTTCCTTTTCAAAGGAGGAGCCGTCTACTCACGGGTTCATTGATTCCCAGCCCAGCAGGAATGTTTGTTCAGGCACGGACAAGCCACACCTCTGATGACTGTAACAGGCACAGCTCGCTCTATTTTGATAGTCTATCAGCTAGGTTTATCAACGTATATAAACAAAAACTCCCCTTTACAGAACTCTTCCCACTTCCGGACAGTTATCCCGGCAGAGCATGCGGGGGCTGTGTCTGAGCTGAGCTCACCTGTTATTTCAAGAAATTTTAATAGCAGGTTTTAAGCTACTTATTTACTTTTTTTTTTTTTGGTTTGGACGGGGTTTTAGGTTTTAAAAAAAATAAAAAAAAAAAAAAAGACAGAAGTATAATTACCCTGGCACGCCTGCATTCCTGCTCCAGGCTCAGGAGGGAGGGGAGTCTTTCTCCTCGGTGCAGGCACGTTCAAGCCAGGAAGAGAACCGGATCCCTGGAGATCATTGCCGCCAACGTGTGTAACTGAAACCCACAGCCATGCTGAAACAGATATTATCGGAGATGTACATTGATCCTGACCTGCTAGCAGAACTCAGCGAGGAGCAGAAGCAGATCCTCTTCTACAAGATGAGGCAGGAGCAGATCAGACGGTGGAAAGAAAGAGAAGCTGCTGCAGACAAGGTTTCAGCAAAGAAGCCACTGCCAAAAAAAGGTAAGAACTTCCTGCTCTGGCCCAGATCTGACCAAGTCCGCTGCGCTCTAGAAATGGGAGCTAACATGTTCCCTAGAGCAATTTTTTCTCACCAGGACACATCATAATTGCATTTCCAAACTGTAATTAAGCCCAGCTCTGATGGGGTAGTTTTGGCCTTGCACTCAACGGTTTTATTCTCTGGCCCTGATGCTCTTTCCTTAGCCAAGTTTCTAAAATCCCCTTCCTGAGAAGGCATGGCTTACTTGCCCCCTAGAGCAAGAGCTTCATCTTATGCCCCCCCCCCCCCCCCACTCAATGGGGGTCTCTGAATCTATCTATAACATAACCTTGGACTTGAACACCTCTCCTAGGATGTCAGCAACATACAGGAGTTTGGTGAGTGCTTTTACACGGGCTGAGGCACCAAAACGGTGCCTTTAGACCTGAAGTCCCCTCGTCTTTGTTAGGATTACATAGCATGCTCTCTTCTAGGACTGCAGCACTGTTCTCTCAGCTCTTTCTCACCTGCTCTGTTTGCAGATAGCTCACCCCTCACCAGTCTCTGTACCAAGGGGTTGGGGAGGGCAGTGGCAAGGAAGTGGAGAAAGAAAAGAAACAGTGACATTCCTAGCCTCTAAAATCAAAAAT